TGTCGGCACTCATCCCTTCTAAGCTACTCATGGGTTCGGAGGTTTGGATGATCCTTAATGTGAAGGAAACTCTGGACAGTTAATCTTTCCAGTTCTTGCAGTCCCAAAGCCTCGGAATGGTTCAGAAAGCCTTAACGCCATATGAAGAAGCCCTTATAGATCCCGTGAACAAAAACTCGAACCCGACAAATGACCCCCAATTCCTAAACCTAACCCCCCTGTAGAAAGACCTCGTTTCAAGAACCAAGGCGCTGGTGTCCTTTCGGAACATCCCGGCGGCAGCGGAAAGCCTCGCCAAAGACTGGGCCGGATCCCTTAGATGCTTTCACATATGTGTGTGTATATATGTGTATATCCAACATGTAAATACAAAATGTATTTATGTTTCTTTGTATGTATATGTATATCCATTTTTTTATATACCTGTATATATCACATATATGTACATATATATATATGTATATGAAAGCCTCTCGTGAAGTAGTGTGAAGAAGTGCATATACATATGTATATATATATATATATATACATATCTGTATATACATAAATATACACATGTATATCCAACATGTAGATACAAAAAGATACTTGGCCTTCAAATTCCTGAACCCCCACGTTCCGAACTTTCTCAAATCAATGTGTTTGGAGACACCGAAACTGAAAGGTCACCTGGAAGTCGAGTCGTCGACTGAGACGAAGCTCCTTCGTCAAGGTCCGTGATCTTCTGACCGGGGTGCATAGCAAGTCGGCCAAGAGAGCTGTCGTACCTAGTCCACGCTTGGGCCCTTGCAGTCAGAGTACTCCGGTACTTATTCGGTACTTAAGTTGCAAGGGCGCGCATGATCGGCTTTCATCGGACCATCGGACTTTGGCCCTTCGCACACCTCCGACGTTGGTTGAACGGCCCCTGAAGGCCCTTCTCTGTCTCCGTCTCCGTCTCTCTCGATCTCTCTCTCTCGCTTTCTTTCTCTCTTTCTTTCTTTCTTTCTTTCTCTCTCTCTCTCTGTCTCTATCTCTGTCTCTGTCTCTCTCTCTCTATCTCTCTGTCTTTCTCTCTCTGTCTCTCTCTCTCTCTCTCTGTCTCTCTCTTTCTTTCTCTCTCTCTCTCTGTCTCTATCTCTGTCTCTGTCTCTCTCTTTCTATCTTCGTCTCTGTCTCTGTCTCTATCTCTGTCTCTGTCTCTCTCTCTCTATCTCTCTGTCTTTCTCTCTCTGTCTCTCTCTCTCTCTGTCTCCCTCTGTCTCTCTTTCTTTCTCTCTCTCTCTATCTCTATCTCTGTCTCTCTTTCTCTCTCTATCTCTGTCTCTGTCTCTGTCTCTGTCTCTATCTCTGTCTCTGTCTCTCTTTCTCTCTCTATCTCTGTCTCTGTCTCTGTCTCTGTCTCTATCTCTGTCTCTGTCTCTCTCTGTCTCTATCTCTGTCTCTGTCTCTATCTCTGTCTCTGTCTCTGTCTCTCTCTCTCTCTCTGTCTCTCTCTCTCTCTATCTCTGTCTCTCTCTCTCTCTATCTCTGTCTCTATCTCTGTCTCTGTCTCTCTCTCTCTCTGTCTCTCTCTCTCTCTCTCTGTCTCTCTCTCTCTCTCTCTCTCTCTCTCTCTCTCTCTCTCTCTCTCTCTCTCTCTCTCTCTCTCTCTCTGTCTCTCTCTCTCCTCTAATCTCTCTCTCTCTCTCTGTCTCTCTCTCTCTCTCTCTCTCTGTCTCTCTCTCTCTCTCTCTGTCTCTCTCTCTCTCTCTCTCTCTCTCTCTCTCTCTCTCTCTCTCTCTCTCTCTCTCTCTCTCTCTCTGTCTCTCTCTCTCTCTCTATCTCTGTCTCTATCTCTGTCTCTGTCTCTCTCTCTCTCTCTCTTTCTGTATTTCTCTCTGTCTCTGTGTTTCTGTTTGTCCGACAGGTAACTGGGCGTCAGGCGCTAAGAACGACTGTAGGTCGAGACCGATTGAGCGTCAGGAAGGCTTTGTAAACCCAGAGCAGTTCAAGCCCCGAGTCTTGTCTCCAGCTTACAGCTGAAAGCGCTCAGCCGGCTCTGAGGTATAGAGACCCACCTTCATCCCTACTACCTCAGCCGGTTGGGTGGCGGCTCCAAGTTGCCTCCAAGTCCTTTCGCAGGGTTCCATTTGGTAGAGGAGTTCGGCTTCTGCGAATATCGAGGGCATACTATAGGTACTAGTACCAGCACCTCCGTCACCACGATCACCACGGTTCAGGCTTCAGCTTAATCACAGATTTACGGTGTTTTCTTGTTTCAGTCAAGGTGGAAGCTTTTATGCTTCGAGGGTACAGACCTTGTGATGGAGCCCATCTTCTATGAGTGCCAGAGCATTGAAGCGCAGGTCCACCATCTGAGCTGTCTAGTCTGACACACATATGGGAGGAAGCAAGACAAACGAACACCCGATGCAATGAGACACTTCACTGGGAGCAGGCAGGCAAGTAAACAGATGGACGGATTGACGGATGGAAGACCGATGGACGGAAGGATGGACGGACGGACGGACGGGAGGGTGGATGGATGGATGGATGGATGGATGGGTATTTAGATGGATAAATGGACGGATAGATGGTTAGTTAGACTTTCGTAGATATGAGGCTCTTTCGTTAGATTAAGAAGAGCTACATGAACTGGAGTGCGTCGTCAACTATACGTGACTCCATCGCCTTCGCTTTCTTGTTTTGGAACCCGTATAAGAACCCTTCTACGAACCTTTTGAACCTTGCAAGAACCCTTTGAGTCCGGCAGTTCCGTTTTTGGCCTTTGGTCTCTAGGCCTTGGCCTGCGCGGTGCTGCCGGGTTTCTCCTGCACCGCCCGGGCTCCCAAACGAAGCTCGCTGTGGGGCTTTACAAGGGTCGTGAAAGAATTTCAGAAGGGTTGTAAAGTTGTAGACTGAAGGTCTGGTATCAGGGTTCCTCGGCATAGCTGGAACTGGAATTCTTAAGAGGCCTTGTTGCACCACGTAATAGATCAGAAGAAGGTGTCGAGGGTTCATCCGGCAGGACGTCAAGGTAGGTCTTAGGCCGCAGATCTAGACTCTTGATTTCCGGTAATTTTTGGCTGACAGTACTGCAGTTTTCCCAGAGCCTTCTTGTTTCCGTGGATTGTTGCGGCATCTTGCCGGGGCCGTTGCTCGTTTTTGCCTGGGGGCCCTTGAGATTCTCAGGGGTTGGCGAGCGATAGGTTCTGAGGTTTAGAGAGGCGCCGCGTGATCCCGACAGTGTGGTGCTGTAGATTTGTTCGGGTGGAGGGGGGCGATGGTTGGGTCAGAGTGTCCTGGATGTTCAGGGTTTTAGGGTTTGGGGTCCTGAAGCCCAAATCCAAATCAGAGGACCCGCGACCCAAGGTCCTACCCTGGGGCTCGTCAGTTTACTGGTCCCCTCAACCCTACGCCTGTAAACCGAAATCCGAACCGTCCTAACATCTCAAACCCTAAACCCTACACCCTCGACCCTGAGACCCCAACACCCCAGCCAAAACCAGCAATCCTAATGGAAGCCTGTATAAATCCGAGTCGTTGAAGTCAGCTCCCGAGGCTGGTCCGAATCCCTTCGCTGCCGGGCGCTCGGTGAGGGGGTGTCATGTGGGAGGGTTCTGGATCTGGTGTTGGGCCTTTTGGGGTCTAGGGTTCAAGCTCGAATTTGGAGTTCGCGGTTTTAAAAATTGGGTGTTGTTTTTTTGGCAGGAAGACTAGAGCACTGCGGCACTGCACTTCGGTCTACGCAGGGTTTCGGGCTCTTGGGGTGCATTGGGGCCAGGGAGCTTGGGCTCAAGGGTTGCGGGAGACGGGGGTACTCAGCTTCGTACCAACGGTACACTTCCTTCGGCGTCTGCCTGGCTTAGTGTAGGCTAGAAGAGCATCCAGCCCGTAGCCAGACTCTCACCGGATCTGTTCATGCTGAGCCCTACGAGACGCAGAGCTTTTGGCAATCGATTTCTCCGGATCGGTTGCACAGGTATAAGAGGGACGCTAGGTCCCGCGAAAGCCTGCAAGCCCTAAACCGTAAACCTGATCCTCACAGGTATACCTCTCGGCTTCGTTGAGCTGAGACCTGCCAGGAGCCCATCACTTCAGGTCTGGTCGGGGCGAGGGGTGGGTTGAGGCCAGGGTTTAGGGTGTGGGGTTCGGGGAGAGGGTTTCAGGTTTCCGGGATTCGGCACGTGGTCGAAGGTTGAGAATTTGAGCCTTGGCCTAGAGTACTATTTCCTTCTGTTTCTTTGGAGTGTTGGGCCTATTGAACGTAGCGTGCTGGGGCTATGGCTTATGGGGGCCGCTGTTGTTTAGACTTGCTAGATTTGAGCTGATGTTGTCGGGCTCCAACCCTGAACCCTGCGCTCGAAACGCCCCGAAAAAGCACAAGTCCAAAATCCTAAACTCCCAGCTCCAAAACCCTGGACTTGCTTGTCCAAAGCCCAACTCTACAAGCCCAAAGCCCCAAAACCCTCAACCCTTATGTTCCACTCTCCCATCGCATAAACAGCCTCAAAACCCTAAACCCTCATGGTCCATACCCCAAACACCCTGAACCCCAAACCGCCCAAAATCCGAATGCCCAAAGCCTGAAGAGTCTTCCCAAGGCCAGCAGCTACGCTGCGGTCGCTCGGCCCTTGGCCTCTCAGGGCGGAGGAGGTAAGACTGGGGTATCTTACGCAGATACTTCCTTAGGGTTCCTATAATTCCTTAGACGAGACATTGCTTTAGAGCTGTAGCATACTTTATAATGTAAAATATACCTCAAAAGTCTGTTAAGGCTACTACGGCCCCTAAGTTGCAAGCTCAGGCTGTGAAGTTAGAGCCGGAAAGGCATCCCTTGTCGAAGGAGAATCTCCTTGCATAACTATGTCCGCGTGGGCCCCTCCCATTCTACTCTCTTCAGCCCTGGGCTTTGTCAACCCCTTTTTTTTTGCGCGATCTTTCTACTCAAAGATGTGGAAGGAGCCGTAAACCCCGTAACACAGCCAATGGAACTGTCAAGAGATGAGGTTGCCGAGTCGCCTTACGTGCATTTCTTGATGCACTTTGTGGCCGTCGGCTTCGCTCCAAGGAAGGCCACGTGGTGGAGGGCTCGTTGGGTGTCGGGGACGGTGGGTTTGTGGGGGGGGGGGGGGTTGGTCCTAAAGGTTTCAGTTGTCATCATTTACCTGGTTTTTGAACCCTAAACCCTAAACCCTAAACCCTAAACCCTAAACCCTAAACGGTCTAGTCGAAAGTGCTGTTCTTGAGTAGTTCTTCTGCGTTCCTTGCGGGGCCCTGCCATGGCCCCACTGCCTTCGCTGATTACCGGAGACTTTTCATGTTCAGGTCCCGTGCAGGAACCCCTCGAAGAGCTGTTTATTAGGAACTCTAAACTCTAAGTCCCGACTCCTTATGGGAACGTCTTATAAGAATCCAAACCCGAGACCCTGAGAGGAACCACTCATAGGAGCTCTGAACCCCAAATCCCTACAGGAACCCCCTGCCTACAGGAGCAAGCAGCGGGCCAGAAGTAACAACACCGGAAATTAAAATAACAGACGCGAAAGTCAGTTTATTAGGCAACCTAGATATTACACACGGCACAGTTTCAACAAGTGGAAGAGTTAAATATGATATTCCAGATACAGATGGAATGCATCTATTTAGTTTAAATAATGCTAATAAATTTGTTGTAGGTGATACGGCATGTGATGTTTATGCTAATTTGTATGTTGATGGCGATGTTTCATATACCGGAAGCATTGGACAGGTGTCAGATTTTAATTTGAAAGAAAATATTAAAGAATTAGATACGAAGAAATGTTTAGATGTTGTCAAATACATTAAAGCGAAAGAGTTTAATTACAAAGGCAAAGAAAAGAAAAGGATAGGTTTTATAGCACAGGATTGGCAACATTCAAAAATACCAGAGGGATATGACATAGCATTTAAAACAGATGAGAATGAATAATATTTGAAGGTTGATTATTCAAAAACATCAGTTGTTTTATATGGTGCTATGCAGGAATGAATAAAAGAAATAACAAGTTTAAAGAGGGAGATAACAAAGTTGGAAGGCAAAGGTAAAGGGAATGGAAAATGATATAAGTTGTAGTATATAATCGGTTCTAAATCTTCAAAACCTGCTGATACTGATTATATGAAGCAGATAAAAGAATTAGGTATTAATGAAAAAACCAAAACAGATATATTGTTGTTTAATACCATAAACGAATGCATTAGTCGCATTGAAGAATTAGAACAAACTAAAAGCGATAAGTTAGTATGTAAGCTTCCTGCTATAAACTTATGTAGTTATTCATTGATTTAATAAATTTTAATCATAATTTATTATGATTAAAGTTTTCTAATCAATAACTAAATTTGCATCGAACCTTTTATAAAACATATCATTTACATCCGCCTTCATTAAACTAATAAACAAAAAACTATAAGGTTCTTCTGTTGCTATGTTATATACTTCTAATAGTAATTTCTTTGCTTCTGCCAAATTTTTAGTATCTGCTAAGGTAACTCTTTTAATTAAGACTGCGCTTAACTCTTCCACCATTGTTTCAATTTCTTTATAGTTTCTGAATCTGAAAAAGAATAACTGACGACTATTTACACGAGTGATAGGACTTAATGCGTTGAATTTTTGTGTTGCCGTTATAATACAGCATCCGTTATGTCTTCCTCTAACATACAACTGATTTAACAAAGGTGAGTTTCTTGAAAAAGCTTTACTGTCGGCGAAGTCATCAACAATAATAAGAATAGAAAGCAGTTTTTTGTGGTCGTTCTTCTTCTGATATTCTATTACTTTATGCTGTCTTTTTATCACCTTGTCTAATTCTTCTGGTATATACTCATCAAATAAACACTTCTCCTTTTCTAAATCAACCTTCAACTCGTCTTGAATGTATCTTTTAATTGGTGTCCAGTTACTATCAACGGAGATTGAAGGAGACCAAATATATCCTTTCAAAGACGCCTCTATAAATATCCAATATCATAGATTGTAGTTATATTCCTTTTCCTGAACCACTCGGACCTGTTATTATCTGTGAAAAAGGTAATTTAGGTGCTACTTCGTCTTTAGACTGTTTAAAACCATATTCTTTAACATTTACTGGTTTTACAACTGGTATATCCGACATTATTATTAATACATAGAAAATCTATATCGTTATTAATATATGGGTGGTTATGACGACTATTTAGAAGTTATAGACGAGATAAAGAAAATAGGTATAATAAAAACACCAAGATATAGAATGTGTTGTTATAGTCTGTTAGATTTCTTCAGGGCAGTTTGTTATTATTTTACTATTCAAAAACATCTAAATAGTATAAATGAGTGATATAAGTGAAAACAGCAATGATAAAGGATTTCGTATTACTGCCCGTGGCATATCTTGTATCCCCTGCCTTTGTAAAAGACAGTCTTATCATCAGGAGACTAAAACAACAAAGGAGAATAATGTAATAACAACAACTACAGTTATTGATAAGAGAAACACTAAATTTGGTGGTGGTAGAAATGTTAGCCCTGATGAAACCGGTATATTTCAATCCGACAAACAAATAGGAAGTGTTGAAATGTGTGATACAGGATGGAACAACAAGGAAAACAGAATTACACCGGAAGAATTAGAGGAGCGTGTTGAGAAAATTGAAACAGATATGGACTTACTTAAAAAAGATATAGAAGACATAAACAAATCAAAGGTTAAAACTGATTAAAGGAATGTTCTTAATATACTGTGACAGGGCGAGTATGCCGTTTTGGAAGAGAGAAACCCCTAGCGCCTTTCGTTTCGTTTCACGTTGGATGGTCTCATTGAAAGGGGAAAGTAAATGATGGAACATTCAGTAGCATCTCATAAGCAGGTGCTTAATTAGTTTCGTTAAACCATTAAGGATTTGGCTTTATAATTTTATTCTAAAATCAATTAAGTATATGGTTAGATATGTAGATAAAATCATTGTATCGTTTTATGTTAATGATAAATGCGATTGTGAAAGCGAGTTAGATAACGTAAGATATTGTCCGAGTTGTAAGATATGTAGGAATCATCAATATTTCAAGAGTAAAAACAAAAACATAGAAGACAACAAATTATGTAGGAGATGTTTAGACAGTATGAATAAATACAAAATGGCATATGTTAAAATGTAGTCTGTAATTACATTTTTAAACTTTAAACAAAAGGTTTCAATCTAAAACTTTCATATAGTAAGATGAGTGATTTGGATGATGAGGTTAAAGAGACAAAGGCAACGCGCTTTCAAAAGATATTAGAGAAGTTAGAACTAATTGAAAAGGCAGTTAATAAACTTAACGAAGAGAAACCTCAACAAATTAAAATACCAATGGATAAAGATAGTGATATTTATAAGAATACAAGGAGTGTATATGTTAAGAAACTCAACAACAAAGATATTAAGTTTCCAAAGAAGGAGACATTAGAATATTATGAGATTAAGTTTGACGACCAAGAGAGAGCATATTAGACATCGTATTTTACTAATTATGTTTAGTAAAATTCAATTTAGCTAACTACTAAGAAATAGTTAGTTCAATTCTGTGTTAGAAAACTTTTTACTAAATATCATTTAGTAAATAAGTTTTGTAAAGTTCTATGGAGTAAAGCTTGAAGGTAAATTCAATTTTTAATTTTTATGTCTATGTCAAAGTTCTTTTCCATATTCTTAACTGCTTCAGGTATTGTCTTTTTTCCCATAAGATATATCTCGCCCATGTCTGCGGTTTTTCTATGTCCTTCCATGTTTGTGTTGCTCCGTGTCTTGCTATGTATCTTTGTTTTCGTTCTTCGTCTTTGTGCTTTGTAAAATCACTGTATCCAGTTGCTCCAAATGAAACCGTCTTTTTTCCATCAATGACGGCGTCATATTTCTTGTCAGGTTTGGATGATTGTTAAGTAGAACTTCTGGCATATTCTTATAGTATATATTGAGAAGATGCTTGCTGTGTAATCGGCAATCCACAGGACAGGGTTTTGGGCTTAGGGTCTTGCCCCACACCTCATGTTAGGATATTGGTTATTTTATGGTTGAGGGTAGGATTTGTTTAGGTGCTTTGGGTTTTGGGTTGTGTTTTGGATTATTGTATTAGGTTTAATAGATTACTTTGTTTCGGGATTGTTGTATTGATTGTTGGGAGGTGCTTTGTGTTTTGAGGGATTTGGGGGTTGAAATCTTAGGCGGTTTGAAAAATGGGGTGAAAGCGTAGGGGGGAGTATAGGGTATGAGGTGTGGGGTTAGCTTCTGCTTGCTACAGGAACCCTGAAGCTTAAACCCTTGTAGGAACCCCTTATAGAAGACCTTAGCCTTGCTCGGGAAAAGCCCGGACACCGTTCCTCGTGCCACGAGGGCGACTGGGTGGTCGGCAGGGTCAGCGAAACGCAGACGAGGGTGCGGGCGCCTGCGGGGTTCAGGGTTTAGGTTTAGGCCCGGTTTAGGCGTTGGCATCGAGGTGGCATCATGTCGTTCTTGTTCTTCCAACCCCTGAGCTGTCTTTTGGTAACCCGGTGCTGAACCGTCACGCCCTAACTCTTAAACCCCTAGACCCTTGAACCCTTTCACTCCCCAGCCCTGAGCTCCTAAACCCGATAAGCCCCATAGACCTATAAGGCCTACAAGCCCAATCAGCCCTACAAACCCCGAAAGCCCTGAAACCCAAACACGCCCTAAGCCTTGAACCCTCCGGAACCCTAAATCCTAAACCCTAAACCCTAAACCCCAAATTACTAAACCCTAAGCCCGCGTCCCTGAAGACCTGAGGTCGGCTTGAACGTGACTTTGCTGGGCCTGATGAACTGCCTCGCAGGGGGCCGAGCTCGAGGTGCTTTGAATAGACCCCACAGGCTGTAAGGGTCTAGGCTTCAGAGTTTATTTGGGGTTTGGGGGTTGTAGGTTTTTAGGGGTTTCGGGTTTGGGGTGCTCTTAGGCTTTGTGGAGCTTTGTGGATCTTGTGGATCCAGCCGGTGTGGCTCAAGACTCACCCTGTGCATGTTTGCTACATGACTGGACCCCTCTGACCCGAAGTATCTTAACGCCACCAGAACGTCTACTTCGGTGAGGAAATCGAAGAAAGAGACAGAGAGTTGGGGTTTAGGGTGTTGGATGCAGACCTCGCGGACTGAAGTTGAAAAGCTTCGGGCTGAGGATGTAGCCCGAGTTCGGGAGCTAACACACTCACCCTAAACCCGAAACCCCAAAGCCCTGAACCTAAACCCCTCCATCCTGGGCCCTCAGCTTGAAATCATAGGCCCTGAGCTTGGGATTGTTGTTTGTCTGAGGTCCGGAAGTGGGATTTGTCCACGGACCTCAGGCCCGCCACATCGATCCAAGGTTTTGAGCTCTTAGCTTTGGGGTTTAGGGTCGCTTACGGTTTAGGGGTTAGGGTTAGGTTTAAAAATTAGGGGTTGGAGTTGGGGAGGGTTTCAGGGTGGATGCCTGAGGGTATCGTCATTTTGGTCGGGATCTCGAGGTCTCTTTTATGGCTCTGGCCTGAGGAAGTGCGCATTTCGTGGAGTTGGTGCTTGAAGCATGTTTCAAACAATTCAGGCTTGCACCTTACTCCTTGCCACAAACCCCTTAGGACCCTAGGCCGACCCGATCCCCTTTAGTGCCCGAGCCTGGTTCCGACACTGTCTGTGTTCCGAGGCACGAGCTTCTTAGGTTTCAGGGTTTTCTGCTCAGGGGACTCAGAAGACCCTGCTTCAGTTTGAAGTCCGAGCTTATTATGAGGTGCCAATACCAGTACCAGGCTCTCCGATTGCCTTTTTGGGGGACCCTACAGCCTCAAATCCCTTTTCTAATTGTCCTTGGCTCGAACATGAGCGTTTCGGAGGACGGCGCGCTCCAAGTCCCCGAACTCGCGTCACGAAGTCACCTTGTGGACACGAAGAGTCGGCAACCTTAAACCTAACGCCCAAAGCCCATCGTCTTTGAAGACAAGAAGCACTCATGGCCAGAGCCTGAAGCCAAAATCCTCGAGCCTCAGACCCGGCGGCGATCGATGCGATCAGGTTCTGCCCGAGCACGTCGCGGTGGCTGGACGTCCGCAGCGCCGAAGACGACGCGGCCACCGGGGAAAGGGCACATCTAGGGGCTGTTCGAGCCCTACTGGGCCGTGGAGTGTAGGCTCACTTCGCAAGATCCTTATCAGCCTTATACAGCGATCCAATATGATGAAGTTTTGTAACCTCTTACCGCCAACCCGAAGCCCTGAGCTTTCGGTTTTGCCGTTGTGACTTCGTCTTGGTACATCGGGCTTTCGGAACAGAGGGATCCTAGTATGGACCCTAAACCCGTGCCCGTACACCCCTGAACCATCGACTCACAGACCCTAAACCCCCTCAAGCCCTAAGCACCTAAGCCCCCACACCTTGCATTTAAACTCCTAGTCACGGGACCCCCAGAGGTTTCTGAACTCCACAAGGTCTGAATATGCCACTCAGTGGTGTTCTGCTCTGCATGTACAAGACAGGTGAATGCAATTCCCGTGTTGGTTGGAAGTGGTGAGCAAGTAATACTGCCCATCGGAGTTCTCCCACACTGACCACACCGCCTTAGGCCCTGCTATACGTATGACCTTTTCCAAAAACGGCTGAGAGATTCATCTTCCATGGTGGCACACTTCTCGATGTGTGGGTGTCATCCACGTGCAGGAGCCAGGCTAATCTTCAGTGTATGGTTCCAGTTTTATCGGATGATCCCCGAAGGGAATCCGGTTTAGGGTTTCAGGGTTTAGAGGTCTCAGAGTTTAGGAGTTTCGATTTTTGCGGGCTTTCAGGTTTGGGCCGAGGCGTTTCAATTCGGAGACCGCTGTTTATCTATCTACCTTTCTGACGTGTATGCTTACCTAGTAAGCCAACCCTGTAGCCGTCAACTTTTGAAGCTCTCAGCGGCACGTAGAACCCCGGTCGCGCCGTTCTAGAAGCCTCGTCGGAATCCACCAAGAAACTTCGTGGGAATCCTTGTAGAAGCCCTACCCCTAAGCCCTAAAACCACGCTCAATTTGCTGCTCAACGTCTTCGCCAGGACGGCAGCGTGAAGGGGGTTGACCTGACCCTGAGCCGGGTCCGGAAACCCAGTGGTCCCTCGCACAAAACGGGATCCCAGCCAGACCTGACACTCCGCCCTTAAACCCTCGTACAACCCCCCGAAACCCTCAAACCTTCAAGCCCCAAAGCCTAAACCGTACAGAGGCGCTTAAAAAACCGTACAGAGTGCAATGTCTTCTGCCGGCCCCGCCTGTCAGGTCCTAAGCCCTGCGGTTGAGGCTTTAGGATATCGGATGTAGGGCCTGTATAACTACTTAATGATACTATTGTTTGTAGGGATCCATACTCTTAAGTGTTACATGCCTGAGCCATTGCAATTCTATTCCTTGAGGGTTGGTCGAATTATTACGGTGTCCCCGGAACAACACTTTCGAGGATTTGGTGGGGGCTTAAGACACGGCCCCGGTCTTCTGGTCCTTGTCTCGTCTGCTTGGTTCTATGACCAAAGGGACTAGTGACTAGTGTTTTTTAGAGGCCTCAAGGTTCTCTATCAGGCGAACATTCGCGGTCTGGAGACCACAGGCAGGATGCGCTGAACCCAAACTTGACAACGAGTGCAAGGGCTATATGAAATTAGACGTGCACTGCTGCCACTTGCTGAGGGTCCCAGGGTAATTGAAGTAACAGCATGTGAGTGGGGTTTATCGATAAGTAACTCCAAGTACGGTACATCTCGCACTACTTATAATCTAACTACTAAGTCCCATGATGTTTCCCTCTGACGAAACCCTGGAGTTTTCTTTTTTGAAACTTGCATGAACCTGTCAAAATCATACTAAATCCCATAAGATTAGCACATGAAGCTCTTATGCAGCCTGTTAGCAACCCATACTAAGCTAAACCCTAACCTCTGTACCCCAAAGCCTAAGCCCTGGGCCTTCAAGTAGGGGTGGGCCCGGAGGACTTCCAATGTGCCAATAGTCGGCCCAAGCACAGGACGAGACTGGCGGAATTCCAGGGATGTGTAGCCAAGGCGCAGTATCGCAGCATCTGAGGACTTCAACGCAGAACTTATATCATAGTATACCATGTACGGACCGGAAGGGGATACCGTTGCGAAGTATTCCGACCCCATAGTACAGCTGAGGCTTGCAGATGCACGTTGGTAGCATGGGTTTATTGAGTCTTCCAGCGTCCGGCGAGAAACTTGTTCCGCTGCGATCGCTGTACATAGCCTTTCCCCGAATATGCCGACTACAGAGTTTCCCTAGTTGCATGTCAACAACTTAATCAGCCGCGCCGTCGTGGATTCGGATCCGGACAGATGGCAACCCCCGTGGTGGAAAAGGTGGCGAAGGCCTCGCTGCTGTCTATCTCAGAACATCATTTCAAAGCTGATTGACTAAGGCGACTAAGGCTTTACGGGTTCTGGGCTTGGGGTTGAGCAACCATAGCTTGAAAGCATGATGGGTTCAGGCTTTGGAATCTTTGTGCAAAATCGGGAGATCTGAACGAGTAGAACCGTCTTCTGATGGCGCACATGCTATAGGAGCCTAAAGAATTGCCGATACTATTTTTGAGGTTCCTTATTATGTTTATAGTTATAGTACAATATGCCCCAAAACCCTTTTCTAAGTATAAAGGCACCTATATTACGCAGCAAAGAGGCAACAAATTTGCGCAGGGTTTGGACAGCCGTAGGGCTGATGAAGGAGCACAGTACTTTTGGGGGCTTCAATAGTTTCGAATACTATTTTGAGGGGTTCCGTATTATGAGTGCACTATAAAGGGCCCCTATATTAGCAGTGACGATAAGGGTCAGGGGAGATGATCAAGCTTGTAATGAACCTTGAGGCATGAATAAGTGTTTGCACAGGCAAGTAAGTATATAAATACACATAAATATATATAAACACACATAATAATAATGTACATGTTTGTTCTCAATGTAGTTCTTCTTCTTGTTGTTATCACCAATTCAGGCGACTTAATGAAAGCATGTGTGTATACATATATATATATGTGCATACATACATACATACATACATACATACAGCTACACATAGTGTCTAACACACGGAACAGAATCCGCCTGCCAGGATGAGCCCGTCTCCAGTTGGTGGGGCATTTGCCGGCTGGCGGCCTGCATCACGAACATCGGGATGATCGTCAGCCGACTCGATTCCACACATGACGATCCACGTAGCAAACCGTGAGACCCGCATCCATGTTTTCATGTTTCTTGAGACCCAGAAGAGTACACGTGCCGCTGCCGGTGCTGCTGGTGCTGGCGCTGCTGTTAGTAGTACTGAAGCTACTCCTACTTCCCTGAAAGTGACTGACTGCTTTTGCTCCTCCTGCTGTTGCTGCTGCTGCTGCTACTCCGCCTTCCTCCTCCCGTTACTGCTGCTACTGCTACTACTGCTGCTGCTACTACTACTGCTACTAATATTATTACTGCTACTACTACTACTACTACTACTACTACTACTACTACTACTACTACTACTACGCCTACTACTACTCCTCCGACCAGGACGACTCCTGCTACTGCTGCTACTGTGTGAAGCTGCTCATGTTCAGATTTCCATGAGGATGCATGTCTTCCTGACTATCACGTCGATGGTGATGATGACCATGATGCTCAAGCTTACATTGATCACGGCAGACATGCTGATGCTGGTGATGGCCTAGCCGGCTGGGGCTGAGGCTGCTTTTGCTGCACGTGCGTGATGTAGAGGCTATGCAGCGATTTTTCGGATGCTCAAATCCGTCCGGTACGTTTGGCTTCTGTGCTGAGGGCCTATAGGAAGAGCAGCCCAAGCCCGAAGCCTCCAAGCTTGACTGCTATAGGGCTGCTTCAACGACCCAGGGCTTAAGGTTTTGGCTGAGGGTTCAGAGGGTGGCTGCCCAGATCGGGATGTACTCCGAGTACCTTTGGGCTGCCGATTGGCCTGAGCTGCCGCAGCAGTGCAGCCCGGACATTTCAGTGCCAAGCTTCCAGCGTTGGGTGTGAGGTTTGAGGGTTTATCTGGAGTTCTGCAGCTTTTCACGGGCTCAGGTCCTGCTATCAAAGGGGTCTTGGGGTTCAGGGCTTCAGGGTCCAGGGTTTAAGGTTCAAAGTGCTGCGGAGCGTATCACAGAAGACTTATAACCAGACTGCAAGGGGGTATGACTGCCAAGGGTACATTACAAGAGCAAGCTATAGATGATAGTATAATGAGGGTCTTGCTTATTGCATGCTAACTGTTCTGACCTATCTATTGGGTCCTGGCTTCTTGCTTGGGACTTGTTGGGTTGTCTTGGAGTAAGATGTGGCTTCACCAGCGTTGGGTGTGATTTGAGAGGCTCATGGTTTTTCTGAAGCATTTGTGCATGTCGGCTAGTGGCAGGATTCTTTTGCCGATTCCGTACCCTAAACCCAAAACCCGAAACCCTAAACCCCAAACCCTAAACCTACTCTGGCAGCTTCCACGATACGAGGACTTTGAGGATAGCCCGGCAGGACCTGAGCTGGTCAAAACCCTAAAGCCTAAAAGCCCGTTGATACCTCTTCCCAGGCGAACAGTTCTACAGGGTCTAGGGATTAGGGCCCCTTAAAGGGTCCTATAATGCATCCCCAAAGTTAGGGTTTACTTACCTTTGGTTAGTAGGGAATGGAAGAATGGTAGTCATTGTAGTTATAATTGTACCCCATTCCTCCAGTCCCTACTAACCAAAGGTAACCCTAAACCTGAACCCTAAACCCTAAACCCCAAAGTCAGGGTTTAGGATTTTCTGGTCTCCCAGGTGAATACCGGAGCACTTTGCCTTGGCTTGATCTGGCGGACTGCTTTCACCGCTCCTCGGAGCTGGAAATCTACTGAACGGGGCCTTGAGGGTTTTTCAACCCAAGGGGGTTTTGAGTTTTGAGGGGTTTTCAACCTAAACCAAACCCCTAAACCCTAAACCCTGTCAGGGCATTGCTTAAGGAATTAGAGTAGGGTTCCTTTAAAGGGGTCTACAAGGGTCAAACCATGACTATAAGGGCTATTATAAGGATTTACTATATAGGGGCCTTCATACTTACCTATACTATTTTTGGGCTTTCCTTCTTGTACTCGCAATACAGTGGGCCCCAAAACCCTATTCTAATTTCTATGGCCCTATATTAGGTGGTAAGGTGATGTCTGAAGGGGCTCTGTCGGGGGTTTTGAGGGTTTGTGTTTAGGTTCTTTTTTGGTTTATCGTTGAGGTTCTGTAAGGTTTTTGTTGGGGGGTTCTGTTTTACCGTGGTTTCGGATCTTTTGGTGTCTTTTGGGCATCTACAGGTTTTCTATACAGGTTCACTGACGGGGCTTAGGTCTGGGGTTTAGTTCTTCGGGCTTAGGGTTCAGTATTGGGCTCAGGGAATAGGGTTTGCGACTTCTGATCTTGGGAGTAGGGCGTGGGGTTTTTGAATTTGGACAGAGTTTGGGTTTTCGGGTTTAGCGTTTGGGAATTTCGGGAATGGAGGGCCTGAGAGGACACCGCAGGTAGAGCAGGGAGGTTGCGAAACCCCGAATCTCACAAAGCCGTAGTTAGTTGGAGTAACAGTCGTAATAGCCAAAAAACATGTATGACAATACTCTTGTCGTGCCCTAAACTGTAGACTAAGGTTACACTTTCTCGCACGCGATGCTTCGGGGCCAGAATTTGACCATCTTCGCGCTGGTTCCTCGGCGAAGACTTTCTGCCAAAGCTTTGGTTTGGGGTCTGGGGCTGAGGGTTGTGGCGCCACATCCAGTTCTCTGAACCTGGATGCAAGAGAGTAGAATGGATCCCCGGCTGTGAAGACGGCATGTGCTGTGGTAAGTGATGGGGCCTGGTTCTGTCGTATTGTCCAACCTTTTTAGTGTATCTGGGCAGTGCTGAACGGTAATTCTTGGCACTAGCATGCAGTGGTGCATTTGATCGTCGGATCTCCTCGGCAGTTCTGCTGTTTTTCTACGATGCCCGCCTGTATTTCAGATGTTTTGGCCTCCCTACATCGATCATGTTGAGGCGCAGTCTCCAACTGGCTAGTGTCGCCATACGACCCAATAGAGCAATAGAGTT